ATTTGCTCAGAGTTAAAGTAGTCCATGAAAATGAAAAGTTTTTGAGCTATAGAAAACATCTGAGAGGACTTAAGAACATTGAAACTTACATATATTGTAAGCTTAAAAACCTAGGAATGAGCGATGTGCACCCTTAAGTCACAGTGAGGAGGCAGAGGCACCTTAACTGAGGAAAAGTCACAAAGGTGGAATGTAATCCGAAGAATGATTTTTTTCCTGGGGAAGGAAAGTGGAAGGAAGAGACATCCATAATGAGATAAGGTCTTCATTGGACACAATAGAAAGGAAAGGAGCTAGATGAGCAAATTCTCCGAAGTTCTCTAACTGGGAAGGTTTTGATGGAGGCAGTACATGTTAAACAGAATCAATTCTGTTAGTAGTAAAAAACATTCAGTACTAACTGCAAATTTAAGTTACTTTGTTATCAGATTAACTTTTATAGAAAAGAATACAAATAATGAAACAATTGGGTAAAAGAAGGATGTGAGGTACTATACTGTTTGGTTTGCCTAATTAGCCTTATTTCATTAATTCTTTCAAGCCTTCTCCAGAAGAGGTCAGCAAAATCCTAGTTACCAATGAGTTGGCTTGCTGTGCTTGGTTGGCTTGCATTGTTTTTATGTATTATTTCATTGTAGAGGTATTTTGTTTTAACAGCTCTAGACCTGTGTTTGGGCTTTTTAATATTGTTGCCAGGTGTAAAATCAGAGTATTTATTTGACTACAGACTTTTTTTTTTGTTTTTTAAAAAAACATATTTAAAAAAATAAAAAATAGAATCAGGGATTCACCATGTTGTCCAGACTGACCTCAAACTCCTGGACTCAAGCAGTCCTCCTGCCTCAGCCTCCCAGAGTGCTAGGATCATAGGTGTGAGCCACTGCACCTGGCCTGACCACAGGTTTTTATATAGTGGAGACAGTGTTTTATTTTTGCTTAAAGCTCTGCTTTCACTTAGTCCTAATATGTTTTCAGGATGACATTGTAACATTATTTTGTTTGGGTGGTTGGAACTTGATTTTAAAAAATTGAGATTGAGATCATTAAAACACTAAAGTTCTAATTTTGTTTATATGGAAATTTTAAGTGTTCGACATTATTGTTTTGCCTGATTTTATTTTATTTAAGCATTACCTTAATTTTCAGAATTTGGTAATGAAAGGAAAGTATTGCTTTTCTTATACTTTTTTAGGTCTTTCTGTTCAGATTGATGTTAACTTGCATAGATTCCTTAAGCTTAAACCTAGACTGATTGGCCTACCTTTCTTTTAAAATAAAACCAGCTACAACAAAAAACTTCAGAAGATAACACGTGCCTTAAGTCGTAAATTAGAGGCTTTTCCCTCTCATTAGTATTTTTTCTTTACTGTTTATTCATTTAAAAATATTTCAAAGACTTTCTTCTTTCTCTTCTGGGATGTTGTCTGCAGGCACTCAGAATGGTCCAGCATTTGACATAATGTCGTAGGGCTTTTTACAATACAGCCTCTAACAAAACAAGGCTGTCCCGGACCCTTGGTAATAGAGTTGTTTACCTTTTTATTAAGAATGTTGGGAAAGCACCAAAATCTGCATGTGGATGTGCCCAGACAGACATTGAGGGGTTCGTGCTGTAAGAGCTAAAGTTCTCCATGAGATTGTCCAAAACAAAGAACATGTCAGCAGGGCCTGTGGTGGTTCCATGTGTGCTAAATGTGTTCGTGACAGGATCAAGCATGCTTTCCTTATTGAGGAGCAGAAAATTGGTGTGTAAGTGTTGAAGGCACAAGCATAGAGTCAGCTAAATTAAAAAATGCAACTTTTTTGAGTAATAGAAATGAAAAGACTTAAAAAAATTTCATCCACTATGAATGCTTTTGATTGGCTGAGCTAAGCCACATACTTAGATAGTAAAACAAATGGCATTGTCATCCCCTTAATTAATAATAACATGGCTTTGGCTTGATTTTTTAAAGCTTCTTTAATTATTTAAGCTCCTTTAGTTCACATGTGTTTCTGAAAATATATGATTAAAAGTGAAGTTGAGGCTAGGTGCTGTGACTCACACCTGTAATCTCAGCACTTGAGAGGGAGGCTGAGGTGGGCAGATCACCTGAGCTCAGGAGTTTGATACCAGCCTGGGCAAAATGGTGAAACCCTATCTCTAGAAAAAATAAAAAAGACATAGCTAGACCTAGTGGCCGTGTCTGTGGTTCTGGCTACTCAGAAGGCTGAGGCAGGAAGAACGCTCAAGCCTAGGAGACCGAGGTTGCAGTGAACTGAGATTATGTTACTGCACTACCTGGGTGACAGAGTGAGACTTCATCTTGAAAAATAAAAGTGAAATTGAGACAAGGTTGTTGAAAAACCTTTTACTTTGATAATATCAGACCATTGCTACTTTTTTTTTTTTGAGACGGAGTCTAACTCACTTTGTTGCTTGGACTGGAGTGCAGTGGCATGATCTCAGCTCACTGCAGCTTCCGCTGCCCTGATTTAAGCAATTCTCCTGCCTCAGCCTCCCGAGTAGCTGGGATTACTGACGTGCACCATGACGCCTGGCTAATTTTTATATTTTTAGTGAAGGTAGGGTTTCACCGTGTTGGCCAGGCTGGTCACAGATTTCTAACCTCAAGTGTTCTGCCTACCTGTTACTTGTTTTCATTAGTGTGTGTGTAAACCCAATGTTAAATGACTGCATAGTATTCCATTATATTGCATTGCATTCTCCATTTATTGGAAATGTTTGGGTTAGTACCTAGGGTAGAAACTGAATTGTCTACCATATTCTACACTCCACACTTGGCGAGGGAAGGTAGGCACATAAAGCAATGACAATATGGTGTGATACATGCTAATGTAGAGTAAGCACTCAGCATTTTGAAGACATGGACTAGAGACTTTTCACCCATTATTGGAGTTGTCGGGGAGGGGCAACGCGGAAAAGGTGATAACGCATGTGTCCTAAAAAGGAGATGTGTAATTGTGTATGCGCATGGGCAAACACGGCATATGCCAGGCAAGAAAGTGTTGGGATTGTGGGAGTAAAAATTTGGTATAAATTTTATTCGACTTAACCGAGACCTATATTTGCCTAGGTCTAATTGCCTGAGTTAAAATGAGTAATCAAAAAATGAAGCATACATAACTTAAATATTTTTGCTGAATATATAAATGAATGTTCAGTAATTTGTTTTATATAGAGCCAAAGTCATACTTTGGAGTCTAGATACGTTAATTGGGGTTTCTGGTCACATTTCTTGAATAAACCACATTTAAACATGTACATAATCTAATGGTTTGCAGCTTTTATTTATTTAAAGCAGAGCCAGAACTTGTAGACAATTGAAAAAGCTATTAGAGATACCCTAATGAGACATGTTACCGTTTTTGTTCTCAATTTTTACTGTAATTCTGCAGTACATTGCTTTTTAAGGAAGTGACTTTTTTTTTTTTTTTTTTTTTTTTTTGAGACCGGGCCTCACTCTGTTGCTCAGCCTGGAGTGCATTGGCACAGTCACAGCTCCTGGGCAGGTGATCTTGTCCCCTCAGCCTCTCAAGTAGCTGGGACCACAGGCAAGCACCGCCATACCTGGCTAATTTTTTGTATTGAGACAGAATCTCCCTATGTTGCCTAGGCTGGTCTAGAACTCCTGGGCTCAGGTGATCCTCCCACCTTGGCCTCCCAAAGTACTGGGATTGCAGGCGTGAGCCACTGAGGAAAATGACCTGTAGTAAGCCTTCCAAAAGCTGTGAGCTCCGATTTTCATTTAAATAAGTGGGTAGTTTTAGTAGGGTGGGATTTGTTTTGTTTTACTGTTGTGTGCCCAGCACTCTAAAACGATATGTGAATATGATAACTGTTCTTTTGTAAGACATTAATGCTGCTGGTGCACAGAAAGCCCCAGAGAGTTGGTTGTTTAAGTTAGAGATCAGGACAATATTTCTATTATATGTTCCATAGTTTGGGAAACTGTTCTAAATATAATGCTAAAGGAGTTCAAGGCAGAAAACCATGAAATAGCTGAGGCCTAGAGAGGCCAGATCCTGAAGAGTTTTCTGCACCATACTAAGAGTTACCCTTTCCTAAGTGCTAGGGGGAACTGTTGAAGAGTTTGTCGGGAAAGTGATACTACCGAATTTGTCCTTTGGATAAAGCCTTCTGCGTACTGAGTGGAAGGTAGCTTTGATGACCTGAGGAGGTCCAGAAGAATGGAGACCTGAACTTGGGTTATGGCAACTTGGATGGAGAGAATAGGTATTAATGAGTACAGTTCCTAGATCTTAGTGTTGGAATATTTGCTGTCCCCTTTTTGGGCCTGTAGTGCTCAGAGGTGTTCACTGTAACACAAACATCCTTGGCCGCAGAGCTTTTACTGAATCTAGGTTTATTTTTTTTTTAGGATAGATTTCCAAACATTTAATTAATTCATTTTATAATAAACACTACTATAGGTGGTATGACACAAAGGTTCATGGGGTAAGAAATATTCCTATGTCATTGAGTTTTCAGTCTTGTGGGAAAGACAGAGGTTTGAGTGCTACAAAGCAGGGAAGAACTACAAAGCAGACAGGATATAGTGGTGGTACTATCTCTTCCAGGGTACGAACACTTAAGTTCTTGATTAGAGGTAAAAGTTTTTTTGTTTTTTTTGTTTTTTGAGATGGAGTCTTGCTCTATCGCCCAGGCTGGAGTGCAGTGGCGCGATCTTGGCTCACTACAGCTTCCACCTCCTGGGTTCAAGTGATTCTCCTGCTTCAGTCTCCTGAGTAGCTGGGACTACAGACACCCGCCACCACACCCCAGCTAATTTTTGTGTTTTTAGTAGAGACAGGGTTTCACCATATTGACCAGGCTGGTCTCAAACTCCTTACCTTGTGATCCACCTGCCTTGGCCTCCCAAAGTGCTGGGATTACAGGCGTGAGCCACCGCACCTGGCCCCAAAAGTATTTTTTAACAATACATGAAAAATGATGTTTTACACATTGTTTTTATGATTTCTTTTCATGTCATTATCAGGTAATAGCTAAGAGAAAAGAAGATTCTGGGAAGATCAAACTTTTGCTTCATTGGATGCCTGAAGACATGTAAGTATTTGAAATACTATGCGTAAGTAATAAGTTCATGTTTTAGTTTTGTTAAAATCTTATGCACAAAAATTATTTGTTAAATTCAAATAAAAAGAAATTACATTGTACAACGTTTTGAGGTTGTCAGGATTGAAGAGATAATCTGAAAGGTCTTAGACTATCTGGCTTATGTATATTACGCTTCAAAACTTAAGCCTTTTTTATTTTTATTTTTATTTTTATTTATTTATTTTTTGCTGGAGGCAGTGGCTCAAACGCCTGTAATCCCAACACTTTGGGATTGTAGCACTTTGGGATCAGAAAGTTGGGAGGCTGGGAGAGGCCGGGAGAGGCTGCCAGTTTGAGACCAGCCTGGCCAACATGGTGAAACCCCATCTCTACTAAAAATACAAAAATTAGCTGAGTTGAGTGTGGTGGTGCGCACCCATAATCCCAGCTGCTTGGGAGGCTGAGGCACAAGAATCACTTGAACTCGGGAGGCAAAGGTTGCAGTGAGCCAAGATCATGCCACTGCACTCTAGCCTGGGCAACAGAGCCAGACTCCGTCTCAAAAACACAAACAACAAAACAAAAATCTTAAGCTTTTTAAATCTTGTGTGGTGTTTTTTTGTTTGTTTGTTTGTTTGTTTTTTTGAGACAGGGTCTCAACCTGGGCATCAGTGAGACTCTGTCTCAAAAATGAAAAAGTATAGAAATTTTAAATCATTTTTAGCATTTTTGGTGACCTCCAAACAGTATGCAAGCAGCCATAGCTGTGCCTTTGTTTGAATCTTTTATTTAAAAAATTTGTAAATGTTCTCTAGTGCATAGTGAATGGTATTTTATAGAAAAAGCAATTGACTAATTTTCTAGCAGTGATTACATTTTTCTTTAAGCTTTTGTGCCCATTTAGAGCACTTCTGACCTAGATGTTCCTTAGTTCAGATATTTCATGTAATTTTCTTTTTATCTTTTTATTAAAATTTTCTTTTTATTAAAATTTTCTTTTTATAAAAGGAAATGAGGATATGTTATAGAAATATTGGACAAAATTTATAAGCATCAAGAATATAATAAATTTTGTTGAAAGAGATTTTATTATGTATGCCTAATTCACATATGTGGCCAATGGCTGGGCACAGTGGTTTATGCTGGTAATCCCAGTGCTTTGTGAGGCTGAGGCAGAAGGATTGCTTTTAAGGCAGGCGTTTGAGATCAGCCTGGGCAGCATAGTGAATCCTTGTCTCTACAGGAAAACAAAAACCAAAAAAATTAGCTGGTTGTGATGGTGTCACCTGTAGTCTCAGATACTCAGGAGACTGAGGTGGGAAGATCAGTTGAGCCCAGGAGGTTGAAGCTGCAGTGAGCCATGATTGCACCACTGCAACTCAAGCTTGAGGGACAGAGTGAGACCCTGTTCAAAAAAATCAAGTACAAATGTGTATATTCCTAATGTTCTGGAAATGGATTAATCCAAATATCAAAATATATTCATTTGAATTTTATTGTAGATTTGAATTTCTTTGAATTCAGTGTTAATGGCCACATGCATTTTTTTTTTTTTTTAATGGAGTTTAATCTTACAGGGGTTTTATTTATTTTGTTTAATGGACTTTAATCTTACAGGTTTTTTGTTTTGTTTTGTTTTTAAGAGACAGTCTCGCTCTGCCGCCCACGCTGCAGTGCAGTGGTGCACTCTCGGCTCACTGCAACCTCTGCCTCCTGGGTTCAAGTGATTCTTGTGCCTTGGCCCCTGGAATAGCTGAGAATACAGGCATGTGCCACCATGCACAGCTAATTTTTGTATTTTTAGTACAGATGGGGTTTCACTATGTTGGTCAGTGTGGTCTTGAATTCCTGGGCTTAAGTTATCTTCCCCCCTTGGCCTCCCAAAGTGCTGGAATTAGAGGAATGAGCCACTGCACTGGGCCCTTTTATTTCTCTATTAGTAAAGAAACTTGCTGTCAGATTTCCAACAAGTCAAAATCAAGTATGAATTTCATTAATTGAGTTAAAAGCTAGCCAGTGTGTTCTGACAGATTTCTGATTTGATAAGATGTTGCCACTGAAAATGTTTAATTTATTCCTGAATTCATGTTTGAAATTTAACACTGCCATTTCTTATCTGGAACTCCACGTCCTACTATTAAGGTTGATAGCTGAACTTCCCTGGCTTCTGGGAAACTTGTTCACTTAACGTGGACTGAGCAGAGTAGCAGAAAATGCCAGAATGTGAAGGCACATGAAGTGTAAATCTAAAATTAATGTTATTTTATTATTGACTTGTTTTTTAATTCATAGTCTGCCTGATGTGTGGGTGAATGAAAGTGAACGACATCAGTTAAAAACTAAAGTAGTTCATTTATCAAAGCTACCCAAAGATACTGCCTTGCTTTTGGACCCAAACATATACAGGTAATTTAATGCTTGCCTTTATGTTTTACTTTTTGATTTGTAATTTTCTCTCCCCAAATTTTGGATAAATTAGGACTTAGTTTTAAGTGCTGAATTTTGATACCAAGTATATCTCATTACTTCCTGGCTTGTTTTTTGTATGTGGACTCACAAAGAGTTAAAAATTGTAGAATCCAGAAAAACAGTATTTTGCTAGTAAAGTTTATATGCTTAATCCCAGATTTATCTTAAGTATGTTAGATTGTAATATACTTAGTAATTTGAAAATAAGTGCCCTTTAACAAAGTAATTCTTTTTGTAATAACAGACTTTTGTGGACCTAAGAATATGTTGCATGAATCTGAAACACCAAAATTGTTTGATTTTTTTTTTAACTTACCCTTTGTCCAAACTTTCCAAAAGAGCAATTCAAATATTATTTGTTTTTTAAGACATAGCTTAGAGTGTTCACATTTCTAGTAATTTTATGTTTTGAGCTTTTTTTAGTGTGCTGTGCTTATGAAGGTATGTGGGGGAAGGAGAAGAGACCAACATTTCTCTTCTATGCGCTGAGTCACTTTGCTAGGTGCTTTGCATATCCGTCATCCTCACGGCTGCTCTGTGAAGTAGGTTTTACTGTCTCTGCTTTACAGATTGGAAAACTGAGGCAAGAGGTTAAATAGTTAATCCGCCCAAGTTTCCACAGAATGTGGTTGAACTCCATAGTGCCTCTATCCAAATGATGTACACGAGAGTGATTAAAAAAGTGGTGGAAATGCTTAAAATCAGCTTTTAAAAGGCACTCTTACGGAAAGGACTTTATATCTTTTTTCAATGAAACTTTGTAAATTTTAGCTATCATAAAGATAGCTAATTTTACATTAATTAAATACTTTGAAGGACATATTCATTCCACGATGCACCGTTTTGGGGTGCTATTCACCTGGAGATTTCCTGTAATTTGGGACATTATTCTGTGAGTAAAATTCTAACATAATGGGCATTGCCATCTGGAAGCATAGTTTTCCCTATTACAAAAAAGGGTTTTTTTTTTGGCTGTTCCCAGTGGCTCATGCCTATAATCACAGCATTTTGGGAGGCTGAGGTGGGCAGTTCGCTGAAGTCTTAAGAGTTCGAGACCAGCCTGAGCAACATAGTGAGACCCTGTCTCTACAAAAAATACACAAATTAGTCAGGCATGGTGGCACATGCCTGTAGTCCCAGCTACTCAGGAGGCTGAGGTAGGAGGATTGTTTGAGCTGGGAGTTCGAGGCTGCAGTGAGCCAAGATTGCACCACTGTACTCCAGCGTGGCTGACAGAGTGAGACCCTGTTTCAAAAAAATTTTTTTCTTCTCAAACATCTTTTGGTGAAAGTGCTAATTAATACAATAAAACTTGTTCTTTGTGGAATGAACTAGATCATCAAGGAGAAGATTGAGAGTAATCTACTACCAAAAATTTGGGAAGGTTGCAAGTTATCTCTTTATAAAGAAAAATAATTGAGTGTTCTTGATTTACTTGTACCTAATTTAGAGTTATTTAAGTTTACTCTTTGGAGAGATGAATTAAAATTAGCATCCTAAAAGAGTGATATTTTGGGAGAGCCACTCTGCCTTTTAGAACTAGTTGTAAACCTCTCTTAGAGATCTTAAACTAAGATTAATCTGGTTTTCTGCCTGCATCCTGTTTCCTTCTTTCCAAGAGTTTTGCTTTCTCACCACATCAGCTTGTTTTTTTTCTGTTTCTGTGCTATATAGGAAGCAATTTAGATATTTTAATGAAAGTGACTTAAAATTTAAGCTTAGAACTAATGTTCTGAAGTGCATAGGAACAGTGTTGCATATTCTCAAATTTATGTGTGTGATTCCACAATTCTTGCTGATTTTATTCTTTGAAATGAGGATGTTCTTAAGATATATTAGGTGCTTCTGTGGATTTGATTTTCCCTACCTGTGTCAAAAATGCCATCTTGGCCTGGTGAGGTGGCTCACGCCCGTAATCCCAGCACTTTGGGAGGCCGAGGTGGGTGGATCACTTGAGGCCAGGAGTTCGAGACCAGCCTGGCCAACATGATGAAACCCTGTTTCAACTAAAAATGCAAAAATCAGTCGGATGTAGTGGTGTACGCCTGTAATCTCAGCTAGTTGGAAGGCTGAGGCATGAGAATCACTTGAACCCAGGAGGCGGAGGTTGCAGTGAGCCGAGATCACGTCCTACACTCCAGCCTTGGCTACAGAGCAAGACTCTGTCTCAAAAAAAAAAAAAAGAAGGAAAGAAAATCCTAATAGTAGCTACCAACATGTGTGTAGGGGAGTGGAGGGAGTTAGTGATAAAACTTTACAATATATAGATTCCTGAATATTTGTGTACATATATATGAATGATCTGTGACTATATATTAATTTTTTTTTTTTCAAGAGAGTTTCGCTCTGTCGCTCA